ATATAATATATATCCTTCTTATTGTCTCCTTTTTTTATTAACAATAAAAGGAGACACTTTTATTTAATTTATGATTCTTTCTTCTCTCCCTCCTGCATGCAATAAATATACACATAAATAACCATTCAACCTCAATGCAGCAACAGCAGCACCAATAGCAGCAGCAGCAGCAATAGCAGAAACAGCAGCAGCAACAGCAACAGCAACAGCAGCAGCAGCAGCAGCAAGAATTACCTTTTTCTTTAGTGCCCTTTGCCTTATACTAACACATTGATTATATCTATAATTATGCCATAACTTTCTTGGCATAAGATTAGCCAGCCCCAATGCTGCTGCATGCATTATATTAGGAGACACTGTTGGATGCATGCAGCAAGAAGCTCTCTCCATTGCCTTTATTGCTGATAATGCATACCTGTATATATAAACCCTAAACCCTAAACCCTTAAACCCTAAACCCTAAACCCTAAACCCTAAACCCTTAAACCCTAAAACCCTAAACCCTAAACCCTTATATTTATAGAGATAAGGGTTATTTGGTTTTGTTGCAGCAAATTAGGGTTTAAGGGGAGGGAATAAGCAACTACTTTATTATTAGGGTTTAGGGTTTAGGGTTTAGGTATTCTTTTTTACTCATGTAAAAGAGGGTTTATTATTTATTAGGGTTTAGGGTTTTGTGGATTAGGGTTTAGGGTTAAATTATATTTATTATTAGGGTTTACAAGACATAATATACATACACAAAAAGGGTTAATTAATTAGGGTATACATATATATATCTTATTATTTATATAATAGTATTTATATATTAGTATTGAATTTATTGTATAAATTAGGGTTTAGGGTTTAGGGTTTAGGGTTTAGGGTTTAGGGTTTACGAGTTGGGTGTCGGTCTAAGTAGTCCAGGGGTTTTGCATTTAGAGAGTTTTGTTGTTACAAGAAGAGGCACATGGCATTGTACATCTATACCAAAAGGAGACACCTCAGCCTGCAGCAGCAGCAGCAGCAGCAGCAGCAGCAGTAGCAGTAGCAGCAGCAGCAAATGCAGCAGGAGATATAATAGTTCAGTGACGTAACACAGCAGCAGCAGCAGAAATAAGAGCAGCAGCAGCAGCAACAGCAACAACTAAAGAAGCAGCAGCAGGAACAGCACTATGTGTCTAAACCCTAGCAAACCCTAGCAAAACCCTAAACCCTAAACCCTAGCAGACCCTATCAAACCCTAGCAAACCCTATCAAACCCTAGCAAACCCTAAACCCTAGCAAACCCTAAACCCCTGGAAACCCTAAACCCTAGTAAACCCTAAACCCTAGTAAACCCTACCTGTAGAGATCTACAGAATGCCTCTGCTGCTCCTTTTGTTGCAGCATAAGCAGCATAAAGGGGATCAGAAGGAAGAACAGATGCACCACTACCTACACAAACTACTAAACCCTTCCTTCTTTTCTTCATCCCTATACAATAATACATAAAACCCTAAACCCTAAACCCTAAACCCTAAACACGAAGATCTAGGATGTAGGGTTGGTAGGACAGGGAAAAAATCCTTTCCTAATATATAATATACACTACTATAAAACCCTAAACCCTAAACCCTCTTAAACCCTAAACCCTAAACCCTCTTAAACCCTAAACCCTAAACCCTCCTAAACCCTAAACCCTAAACCCTCCTAAACCCTAAACCCTAAACCCTAGCTAACCTGGAAGAACAGCGCGAGTAACAACAAGGGTAGATCGTACATTAACGGCAATTAATTCTTCAATAAGAGAAAGAGGGACTTCATCATAATACTATACACAAACCCTAAACCCTAAACCCTAAACCCTAAACCCTCATGATATATATCTTACAGGGTGTATAAAACCACCAAAAAAACAGCAGCAGCAGCACAACCACCACCAGCCCAACCTCTACCATCACCAGCAGCAACAACAGCAGCAACAGCAGCAGGAGCAGCAGGAAGAGAAGGAAGAGGACGTACCATTGCATGAGGATAAGAGATACCAACATTATTAATAAGTATACCTACATCTAAACCCTCAACAGCAGCAGCAACTTTATTTATTATTTCTTCTCCTTTTTCTACAGCAAAATCTATAACTAAATAAGATACATTTATACGTGATGGTGCTATTAACTCCAACTGCAGCACCAGACACAGCAGCAGCAGCAGCAGCAGCAGCAGCAGCAGCAGCAGCAGCAGCAGCAAATAGATAGATATAAATAAACAAGCAAAAATAACAACAGCAGCAACAACAGCAGCAACAAAAACAGCAGCATAGACAGCAAAACAACCCCACCACCGCCATAATTAACCCACAACAACAACAACCAGCAGCAGCAGCAGCAGCAGCAGCAGCAGCAGCAGCAACAGCAGCAATAGACCTGTGTCTTTAAATCAATTAATTTTTGTTGATTTCTTGCAATAATAAGAATATTTATAAATTTATATTTAATTATATTTTTAATTAAATATAAACCTATACCATCTGTACATC